TGCGGCGCCTTGCAGAATTCCGAAATCGGGAAGGCCCTGACTGCAGTCGGAATTTGGGGAAGTCGGATGATAGAATATATCCAATTTTTCAAGGATTTTTACGAGGCACTAGAGTGGTGCGAAAATGTGTTGCTGAAAGAACATTACAGAAGACCATCTATTGCAGCCATAGCAAATCAACCCTGTGAGTAATGAATGTTTTCGACATACCATTTCCAAAAAATATGCTCACGAATTATTAAATTATGCTAATAGACACAAGCATGAACCAAACTACTAGACAAACGCCACCAAAGAGTATATCATCTCCACGCAACGACCTTATCCAAACTGCTGATAAAACAACACAACATGGTACGAGTGAAAACGTTGTTTTCCTTAAAATAATAGTTTAATTCTTATTTTCTCTCCACACATTTTGTAGATGAAAATGCTCGACTTAACAACAAACCAACCTCCATTTTAATGGAGACTTTCGAGGATAACGCTGACAAGGATGAGAAATTCTTTAGCAATTTGGCGTCATATTTCCATAAGGTCAATGTTCGACCAGGAGAAGTTCTTTGGAAGCAAGGTGACACCCCTGATTGTCTTTATCTCGTCGAACGTGGTATACTTCGTGCACACTGGAGGGCCACGGAAGATGTTCACGAGAGACCAGTTGAATGCATTTTACCTGGTACACTTGCGGGTGAATTGGGATTCTTTACGAAGAGGAAAAGAGGGGCGACGCTCTATGCAGATAAAGAATGCAAGGAATGCGTGTTGTGGCAGATGAAGACCGAAGATTATGATGAGTTGCTTGATAAAGATCCGAAAGTTGCCAACGATTTTATTCGTTTGGCCCTAAACTTCTCTGCCGAAAGATTAAGCGCCATGACGCAGTATGCCTTCCTTTTAGCTGAGTAGGAGGTTGTTTTAGTGTTAAAACACATCGTCAACTCCGGATGAATTTATTTCATATACCTAAAAAATATTACCATAGAAGTTAAATCTTGATAATGCGACTCGGTTACATTATAATTGAATAATCGATAAATTTGACTTTAGATATTTATTTTCTCTTCCCTCCAAAAAAAATCATGGTTCTTGTACATACGGCAATTTTAATAGTCATTTAGAATAACATTACCACCCGTTTGTAAATCAAAAAGAAGAATATTCTAAGCGAAGTTTGTTGGGTATCGCAAAGCGAACTAAAATTAGGATGGTGTGATACGCACGAAAATTTGCATCGAAATAAAATTAAAACTTATTTTATTTTCAGCGATTATAATTGTTGTAACAATTCAATTAATTAAACTAAACTTTTTTTATATGACTGCAATATATCATGCCATTATGGCGTTTCTTTATTGAGATATTAAATAAACATCTTTAAATAATTATATTATGACATTTGAAGTGTATATGGTTGCTTCCAAAAGTCTATAATGTTTTTATTATAGATTTCAATTTTGACAATTTTTAAATCTTTACCTTATGCAATTAAAAATTATAAAATTTACATATATTATATCTTAATATTGATTTTATTTTTCATATTTTTTTAAAAAAATTTTTATACTGATTTCTAAAATTTTATTATTTTTATTAATTATTATATGATTTTTTTTTTTTTTTTTTTAATCCACAATCATGCCACTTTGGCATATCTTTATTGAGATATTGAGAGATACCTAAATATTTTACAGACTTTTATAAAGCAACTAACTCATTATTGTACATTATTAGTTAAAAAATTACACTACTTAAAAAATATGAGAAGTTCACTAAGCTAATTTGGATTAAATAAAACTAAGTTTAAACTAGATACTCTA